TGTGTACATTTCTGGGTGACTTTACCTGTGTGTGTTAGGAGGCAAGGTCAGCGTGTGTGTGTGTGTGTGTGTGTGTGTGTGTGTGTGTGTGTGGTGAGAGAAGGGGGCCACCATGAGACATACACAGCTGGAAAGGTCACGAGGCCTCAGTTTCTCCAAAGCCGTGCCCTAGATGAGGCTTCTCCTGGCAACTATGTCTAAAAGGCCCCTGTCCCTTGGTGAGGTCCTCCTTCCAGGACAGGCTGCCTCCCTGCAGAGCCATGCCCTCAACACAGCTGGCCCAGCCAGTCCTGATGCCCTCGGGCTACCCTTAAGCACCCTCCAGGAAGAGGCCCCACCACCATGTGCACAGACTTCCCCCCTTGGTCAGCTGGGCCTTCTGAGCCCCAGCCCTGAGGGTGGTGGCATGGCAGGGGTCTCATTTCCTCAATTCTCTGGGAAGCGCTCGCTTCATTGTGTGACTTTCCCCATTTTGACGCTGCCATGGGACCAAGAGGGTTGTGTGGATCCAATAAGACAAGTGCAGCTGCCTGGTTCACACCCCACTCCCCTTCCTCCCCCACCCTCACCCCTGAGGGTGCATGCCTGAGTCCTCAGGAGCCTGGGTGCTGAGGGGTTTGGGGTGTGGTTTGAAGCCAGGCCCCCACCAGCCAGCATGGTACACCTGAGGGCTACAGCCCCTGCTTCCCTCTCTGGTGCTTCCCTGCAAAGAGCATCCTCACAGAGGTCCCAGCATGCCACCTCCAGAAGCAGTGGCCCAACCCCTTGCTCTGTCCCTGCCCTGGACTCTTCTCCAGATACCAGAAAATAGCTCCAGCTGATGCCCACATAGTCAGTCCTCACAAGGCCTGCAAACCAGCCCACCAGACCTACCACCATGCAGCCAATTCAACCCCAAGAGAGCCACCTTGCCAGACAGAGCCGAACTGCCCCAGAGGGTTTCCGAGACTGCCACCCTTCTCCTGGAGTCACCTGTAACCCTTAGCCCCCAGTCCCAACACCGAAGTAAAAGGGCTGCAGGGGTCCTCCTCCCTCCCCACACACCCCTTTGTGACATAGTGCACCCTGTTGTGCCTTGGTCACTAGAATTTACTTGTAAAGACTGGTGGGGGAAGGGGGGGGGGCGATTGACTGGCTGGCCCAGGTCAGCCAGGTATCCCTGAACCCTGCTATGGGGGACACTCCCCACCCACCCTAGCCCACCCTGGAGCTGCAGGGTTCTCTGCTTTAAAAGACCCAGGAGTTCCTGGGTCATTCCAGTTCAGAGCGCTGGCAGGGGGTCGGCCTAGAGGAAGGCCTGCGCTGCCTATGAGATTGGGAGGTGGGTGCCGGAAGTCCGCATGAGAAGGCTCTCCCAGGAAGGGACTTGTGGGCACAACCTGGTGAGTCAAGGGTAAATGAGAGGTGATGATGCTAAAGGCCCAAAGTCCAGGCAGGGCAAATGCGCCCAGGTAAATATGAGTAGGTAAACAAATACGTTCAGATGAGCGAGGGCTCGGGTGCTCTAGCTAAGTGCCTAAGCCCTGCCTTCAAAAAGCCCCAAGCTGGGAGCTAGCTGGCCAGAGGCCATCTGTTAGCCCCCTGCTGGCTGGGGCTCGGGCACCGCCTTCCGGTCGCGCTGAGCAACTGCAGGCGGACTGGTCCGGAGCTGAGGACCTTCCCAGCGGGCAGGGCAGGGTCTCCCCGGACAGCGCCCCAAGGGAGTCCACTCCCTGCTGTGGTGGCGTAGGGTGCGGGGTGGTCTTGTGGCTGGAAGTGGCCCCCGAGCACTGGGCCAGGCCAGCGTTCTCAGGGACTGCCCGCCATCCCGAGGGTGCTGGCCCTCAGCGACCTGGCGGGGAGGGTGTCGTCGAGGGTGGCGGGTGGGGAGGAGTCTGCAGGGTCGCTGCCTGGTCCGGGGTGGGAGGTGCGAGTGGGCGGCGCCCGGGGCGGGGCCGGCCCTGCGCTCTCTCCCAGCCGGCCGCCGGCCCAGCTCACCTCTCGTCCAGGGACATGCCGGGCACGCCTGGCGCAGCGGCCACCCGGGATGGCGAGGCCCCCGAGCGCTCCCCGCCCTGCAGTCCGAGCTACGATCTCACGGGCAAGGTGGGTGAGCGTTGCGCCCAGCGCCGGGGACTCCATGCCGGTTCCGAGGGTCGCCCCTCCCCGCGCCCTTGTCCCTGAGACCCCCGCCCTCCCCGCCCACCCCCTTTCTGGCTGCGTCCGTTGCGGGGCGGCCAGCCGAGTCCCCGGAGGAGGGAAGGAGGGCAGCCCCTAGGCGTGCCCCATCCTCTAGGGAGGGGGCTGGCTCGGCGGAGCGGGGCGAGGACTGAGCGCCGCCCCAGTTCCCGGCGCAGAGCCCTGGTGGCGCAGTGGTTAAGCGCTTGGCTGCTAACCAGAAAGCTGGAGGTTTGAAACCTTGGAAGCAAGCGGTGGCAGTCGGCTTCCGTGGATTTAGGACCTGGGGAGCCCGTTCTACTCCTTCCTACACGGGTTGTTTTGACTCGGGCTGGACTGGACAGCCGTGGGTTGGGTTTGGGTTTTTCTTTTTTTGTTGTTGTCGTTTGGACGCCTGGGTCGAGGAGCCTCAGTGGTACAAATAGTTAAGAGCTTGGGCGACAACCGGTTCGAATCCCGCAGCGGCTTCCGTGCAGAATGCACCCTTGGAACGCTATGCGGAAGTCCTACTCTGCCCTAGGGGGTCCCCATGAGACCCAGTCCACTCGACTAGTCGCCGGGCTCATGCCTCCCAAAATGCACGAAAAGCCGTTGCCATCGGTTCCTGGAAACCCCCTAGGGCAGAACAGGGTGCCAATGCGCCGCAGCCCTAAGATCGACCCCCGGGGCCTCAGGGAAGAAGCCGCCTGGAGACTCCGCGGGGGCTGCGGGCCAGTGGCGGAGCGCTGGTTTCCCTGCGCCCCTACCTGAAAACCCTTACGGTCCCCCAGTTCTCTCCCCAACCCCTCCGGCCACTGCTCCCCCGAAGGAAGGTGGTCCCAGCCGGGAAGCAGGCCCACCTAGGAATGGTTAGAACTTGGAGGTTAGGACAACTTCTTTCACCCCTGGGGAGGGGGAAGGGGTGCCCTGTGCTGCCGCAGGTGGGGGTGGCAGCGCACACTGGCCCGTCCCACCTCCCTCAGCACAGAGAAGGTGGGCCAGCAGGGAGGACACTCAGCCAGGGCTGTGTCCCCTCTAGGGTGGGCGTAGCCAGACAGGGGCTGCCTGGTCTCATCTGCTGCTTGACCTTGAAGGAGACCTGCCTCTTGCTGTGCCCTGGTTTCCTCCCCACGCGGGGCTCACCCGCTAGGAGCCCCGCCTCCACTGGGCAAGTCAGCTGCCCAGAGCCGTTGAGATAGGAGGCCTGTGTGGGCTCGTGGCCGGAAATGGGCCCCTGCACCCTGAGGGGAGGGGAGCTCTTACCGCCAGCCCCAGGCTGGTGGGACCGCCTGCCTGGCCTCGGTGCCTCACCAGCCAGCTGGGCTGTTTGCCTGGGCGGTGGCGTCTTTGGGGCATTGCCTGGCTGGGTGGGTGCTCCCTCATTTGCTCAACACAGCTGTGATCTGTAAAGTACACAGACATTCCTTCGACTGCCCTCCCCCACCTTCACCCTCCCTCCCTCCTTCCTTTGCTGTCAGGGCTGAGGCTAGGGGCTAGGGTCTAGAACCAGGAACCAGGGGGAAAGGCAGCCTCCAGAACCCTACTTGTTCCCCCACCTCCCTCGACAAGGGGGAGGGAGGACTAGACAAAAGACTTCCCGCCCCTCAGTGTCACCCAGAGGAGAGGAGCAGAGACTGACTAGGCAACAAAGGGGAGGGGTGTAGCCCCCCCACCCCCCCACCCTCCTTACCTTCAGTGACCTGCCTGGGCTGCCATTTTCAGCCCCTTAACCACTTAGGACCACGCGGCTGAAGGAATTTCAGACTAAATGTCTCCTCACTTCGGTATAAAGTGTAACCTTTCCTAATTCACAACCATAAAATGTCATTAGAAACTTCCAAGTAGATGTTGTGGCCCAAAAACCCCAGACTGGAGTCGTTTGGGAATATTATACTGGTGCCAAGCACAGCATCAGCCTGCTCGAGGGTCCTCATCCACTGTCTTGGGTGAGAATCCTTGTCTGAGACTGGCCACTCTGCACTCACCCAGCAGCCCTGCACGGCCCACCAGGCAGCCCTACCTTGCCCACCCACATCCCCGCAAGGCCAAGCTCTCAAACAGGGCAGGATCCTGGCATGGTGTGGGTGAATACCACTAGATGAAAACCACAGAGATACAGAAGTTTTTCTCGGCCACCTGTGGGCACCTGAAGGTGCCAAGACCTTGTTTCGGTGGGGAGGTGGGCTCAGCCCGGGAATGTGCACTGGCAGGGCCAGCAAAGGCATATTCTCCCCACACATACACACCCCCCTCTCTCCAGGATCGCTCTCCCTGTGAGCCCAGACCCCTACCCACCCTGAGTCCCCATTAACTGCCTCTGCTCCATCTCCTAGGTGATGCTCCTGGGGGATTCAGGCGTCGGCAAAACCTGCTTCCTGATCCAATTCAAAGACGGGGCCTTCCTGTCCGGGACCTTCATAGCCACCGTCGGCATAGACTACAGGGTGAGGTGCCTGCAGGCTCCTCCTCCCCCATGGCTCTGGACTCAGGCCTCAGGAGTGCGCGGCTCCTGTGGCTTACCGCCAGGGGGCACTGGACATGCTCCCTCCCTCAGGAACCAAGCAGGCAGCCTGGTTAGAGGAGTTGGCCTGGGTGGGCTCCTAGGCCCATGGCTGAGTCTTCCTTTCCTCCCCTCCAAGGGGTGACAGGCTTCCCGGAGCGGGTGCCGAGCCCCCACCCCCACCAGGTGAGCCAGGGTCCTGGGCCTCTGAGGCTCCTTGGCCTCTGAGCTGGGACCCACTGGCAAGGCCTCCAAAGGCCAGCTGGCACTGGCCAGGGTCTCAGAGCTGGACTGGCCATTCAGGAGAGAGCAGCTGGTCACCTTGATGACCCCTCTCTGCACATCTGCATCTGAGCTGCTGCAGGGGGCATGGTCTCCCTGGGGCTGCGTGGGGGCTGTGGAGATGTGTGCCTCCCTTCCAGGGTGCTGGAGCTTGGTGGAGGAGGAGGAGGGAGGAGCTGGAGGAAGGCTGCCCCTGTAGATTGAGCCCACACCCCACTGGGGAGTGGCACCTGGTCGGGTGGCACCTCGTCTCTGAGCTGGGTGGCAGGGACAGGACTGAGCTGGGGAGAGGCAGACTGCCGTGGGGAGGGGCAGGGACTACAGCGCCTGCTGAGCCTCCAGACAGCCAGCAGATCCTCAGGCTCCCCTTGCCCTGCCAAGTTGTGAGAAGAGCAGTCGGAAGCCCCGGAAGAGAGGTCCCCCAATGGAGATGCCTAGAAAGAGGGGGCCCCACTGGCCTGATGGAGTGATCTGGCCATCAGATAACAATGGCCCATCTCCTCAAGCTCTGGAGCGGGCCCAGCACAAGGTCAAATGTCCTCAGAGCTCAGGAGCCAAGCTATCTCACCTCCCCACCCACTCCCCTCTCCCTTGGCACCCCCCTCTCTCTCTCACAGAACAAGGTGGTGACCGTGGATGGTGTGCGGGTGAAGCTGCAGGTGAGATGGGGTCTGGGAGGATGGTGAGCCTGCCCGGGCTCCTCACCCTGAACCACACATGGCCTGCAGCCCGCCCTCCACGGGGGTTATTTCCTGTGGGGCACAGGAGAGGAAACGGCTTTTGTTTGATAGCTGCTGAAAAAGCAGTTCCCAGGCACCGTCTCTAAGACCAAAGGCAGCTCCCAAGTGCCTGCAGATCAGCCCATCCTGCTCCCACCTCTGTCCCAGGTTCCCAGGCCTCACCCACTGCTCAAGGTCGGTTGCCACCACAGCCCCTGAGCCAGGGAGGAGGAGACGGCATGAGGGGCTTGGGAACGCAAGGTTGTCATTGGCCTAGAAGTCCCTGAGAACCTAGAGAAGGAAACCATCCCACCTTCTCTCTCTCACACACACACACATCTATGAACTGGGTTTCTTCCACCTGGCACAGTCCTCCTCCCCCCAGGCCCCCCACCCACCCATTTCTGCATTCCTTCTCAGATCTGGGACACTGCAGGGCAGGAGCGCTTCCGCAGCGTCACACACGCCTATTACCGAGATGCCCAGGGTACGTTCTCCCTCGCTCCAGCCCCCCTCTGCCAGCCCCTTCCTGGTATCCATTCTGCTCCAAGTCTCCCCCTCCCCCACCCTGTGCTCTCTCTCCCCCTCCAGCCCTGCTCCTGCTGTACGACATCACCAACCAGTCATCCTTCGACAACATCCGGGTAGGTTCTGCCTCTCCCCCACCCACCTGGCTCCCAGCTCACCACCCAGTGCAGGCCAGTGTGGGAGGGGGTGGAGCATGCAAGACTGCAGCTTCTGAAGAACGCACCTGAGTGGGCGATTCAGGCGTCAGGCCTATGAGCTGCTGTGGACACTTGGGCGTGGAAGGCCAGCAGGCTGTTCTGCCATGGTGTCACCTGCATCACCCCGGTTCAGGCTCATGAGGGTGTTTTACATCAAAGGTGTTCAGAAAGCCCCCCGCTCTACTGGGGTCAATAACCCACGGAGACCAAAGAGAGAGTCTAACCACAAATGTATACAAACATTCAGCCTGAGTTACAAGGAAGTGACTCAGACAGACAAGTGGCTGTGTCCTCCCAACCAAACTACTAGTGGGGAGAGACAAGAATTCAACCAACAAGGGCAGAACCAGACAAAGTAGTGACTGCCCCTCAATACTCATGTTGTGATGGGCAACCCCATGCTGTGCATGGCAGACATCACTAATCAATCACAGTGGCAAACCCATGGCACTCAGGCTGCCCTCTCCAAACCCACGGTCATGGCAGACATTACTAGTCAATCACGGTACTTTGGACCACTGAGCCTTTACACATCTTTCAAATCCTCAACAGGGTGCTCTACCTCGTTGGTGAAAGGTCATTTTGGTGCCCTCTTTATCTTCCCTAGAAATAAGTGTTACACTGCATATGGTTTTGAGGTGGGGAGGGCCTTTGTAGGTTAGGCAATCAAGGAAAGTCACTTAGGGGAGGTCAGGCTTGAGCTGTGCATTATACGTAAAGATGAGACTAGAAGAGGCGGAGCAGAACTAAACAGGCAGGGTGAGGGAGGAGGGCATGGGCATGGGCCTCAGCCTTGCCCTGGCTCAACTTCCCCTCTGCCTCCCCACAGGCCTGGCTCACCGAGATCCATGAGTATGCCCACAGGGATGTGGTCATCATGTTGCTAGGCAATAAGGTGAGTGGCTCCCTGACAGGGTCAGCCCACCTTGCACCCTCTCTTCCAATGCTGCAGCGTCAGCCGTGTTTCCTGTACATCCTTCCCGCTAAAACACTTTCCCATAAGTCCCAGTTCAGAGGTCAGACCCATCTGGAAGCTTCAGGCCAGCGCATCTACCTCTGAAAGGTTGGAAATGGCCACTCCCAAGGAAAACCCTTGCCCGGGCTGCTCAGCCCCTTAGGCCATGGTGAACATAGTGAATAGTGTCACAGTGGGGGGTGCGCACTAAGACTAAAATGGGTTAGCCCCAACCACTGTCACCCCTCTCAGGCTCGGCCACCACACGCTCTGCCAAGCAGCGACACTCACCCCTGGGGCAAGATCCCCAGGGGTGAATAAAGCAGACACTCTAACCCCCTAGCCAATTACACACCCCTCTGCTCCCAGGGATTCCGTGGCTGCCTTCTCAGTCCCGCTGGCCACCAGCAGAGGGCAGGCCGTGCCTATTCCTGGGGTGCAAGATGGGCCAGCGGGATGCTGGAGGAGAGAGGCCTGTGGTTGGGGGCAAGGCTTCCTTTCCCAGAGCGACCCATTTTGGCTTCCAGGCGGACGTGAGCAGTGAACGGGTGATCCGCTCCGAAGACGGGGAGACGCTGGCCAGGGTAAGTGGCTGATTGTGGGGTGGGGTCAGTGGCGGGGAGGGCAAAGGCGGCCGGCTCTGAGCACAGGCCTCCCCAGCAGGAGTACGGAGTGCCATTCATGGAGACCAGCGCCAAGACGGGCATGAACGTGGAGCTAGCCTTTCTAGCGATTGCCAAGTGAGCCCGGCAGGGAAGGGGTCCTCATGGGTAGGCAGCGCCATCTGGGAACCCCATAGAGTTCACCGCCCCACCCCCACCCCTGGGTCCCAGGGGGTCAGGTGCATGGGGGGTTGTCCACTCCACACTCCCAGTTCAGACCACTGGGTCTTCTGCTTCCAGGGAGCTGAAATACCGGGCCCGGCAGCAGGCCGACGAACCCAGCTTCCAGATCCGAGATTACGTCGAGTCCCAGAAGAAGCGGTCTGGCTGCTGTGCCTTCCTGTGACAGCCAATGGGCGGGGCGGGGCGGGGCGGCGGCTCGGGAGGCCCCCCGCATGCAGCCCTCTTGGGGCACCCAGTCTGCTCCCCAGAGGCTGAGCGATGGGGTTGAGAGCTGGGAGCCTGGGACCCAACCCCTTCCAAGAGCAAGCTTACCTCCGGCTCCTACCCTACTTCCTGTAGCTTCCCTGCCGCCGGGGGAGGGTAAAGGAGTTCTAGTTCACTTAATGTAACAAGATTTAAGACCGAAAGAGAGGGCGTGTCAGGGTCCCCAGAAGGCAGAGGCTGGGGCCTGGTTGGCCTCTGAGATTTAGGACAGGTAAAGAGGCTGGGCCGGCCCCCGGGCTGTGACAAAGGTGTCAATGCTCCAGCCCAACAGCAGGAGGCACCAGTGCACCGCTACTGGTACCTGGTACCCGGGGCGTGGCAGGTGACTGTCCAGAAAGAGGCTGTGCAGACCCCCAGCCCTCTGGTTTCTACCACCTCCCCAGGGATCCGTCTTTCCCGGTAAGATGAGCCTTGTACTGGAAGCAGGACCAGACTCAGGGAAGAGAAGCGATGTGGTCTGAGAAGGCTCAGCTCCCTGGAAGGCAGGAAGAAAGGTGCCTGAGATTCAAGTTTGTTGGGTGACCTCCTGGCCTTACTAACCTTGCCCCATGCAGCAGACAAGCACCTGGGGGCACCTGGGGAAATTTGGTTCCTCTTCTCTGGACGTCAGATCCTAGGGAAGACGCTCCTACCTGAACTGCTCATCTGACGCATTTTTCTACCTTATCCCCTGGGCAGACACCTAGGGTCAGAAAAGGGATCAGGTTTGCTTCTTGTCCCAAACTGATGGCAGCCACTCAACCCCACAGGGTGCTTTCCAAGCAACAGGGGTGCTTCAAGTAGTTAAGAGCCACATTTTAAAAGGAAATGCCTGGCCCCAGCTGCAGGTGAGAAGCAGGCTCCCCCCCCACCCCCCCACCCCCCGCCCTCGCCACCCCCACCTTTCCCCAACTGTATCCTCCTAACCTCTAAGCCCCACCTCCACTCAGGGCCTTTCCTGATCTTCTGAGACTAACACCAAAGTCCAGATGACTCATCTCCATCCTGCTTGGGTGAATAAGGTTAGATGGGCATGTCTGGGGTGGAGTTGAGGGTCATTGAGCAGTTTCTGCACGGCCAAGGTCTCACCTGCCCCGCCCCCACCCCAAGCCATGGCCCAGTGGTTAGAAATGGACAGGAGAGGCATCTTCATTCCAGCTCTCAGCCTGGGGGGGCTGCAGGAAGGGGAAACGAATGTGCCATGGCTTGTGACAGTGGCCGAGTCTGCTTTCCAAGCAGAAAACACGTGCTCTCTGCACCCAGTCAAGGGTTCTCACTTGGGCGTGATAAAGCATCGCTCTGTGGTGACCTCTCCCAGCCACAGCAGGGAGGAATCTGACCTTGCCAGGTTCTGGGGGCCCCAAGGCAGAGGCAGAACACAGGTCATATAATCATGTGGGCTGGCTGCTCTGGGTGGCTAGCACTTTTTTTTCCTTTTCTTCTTCCGGATTAAATTGCAGTATTTTGGAAAGTACACCCTGTCCACTGTGTTTTTGAGATTTGCGGGGGTGGGGAAGTGTCTGTGTGGGAGTAGGGAAGGGTCATGTGGAAGGGACTATTGTTACAAGTTGGGAGAACCATCACCAATACACACACACACACACACACACACACACACACACACACACACATCTGGAGTCTGCTGAGTCAGGGTGACCCCACAGCGTTAAGGAAGTGAAGTGCCCCATAGGGTTTTCTCCATGGTGACCTCAAAGAGCCCTGGTGACCTAGTGGTTATACACTGGGCTGCTGACCACAAGATCAGAAGTTCGAAACCACCCAACCGTGGCTGTGAGGTAGAAAAGTCTATTTTAGTGAAGATTTATAATCGTCGAAACCTACAGGGACAGTTCCACCCCACCCTATAGGGTCACGATGAGTCAGAAACAACTGGGTGGCAGTGAGAGACCTTGATGGAAAAAAGAACCCCCGTGGCTTGTTCCATGCTTGGCTGCTAACCCCAGGGTGGGCAGTTTGAATCCACCAGCCACGACGGAAAAGAGCTGGCAAGCTGCCTCCGTCCAGATCCCACTGCCATCGAGTCTGTTCTGACTCTGTAGGCAGCCCGAAGGGTAGAGGGTTTCCAAGGCTGTAAATCTTTACAGGAGCAGAGAGCCTCCTCTTTCTCCTGTGAGCGCCTTGTGAGTTTGAACAGTCTTTCCTAATGGTACCTGGGTAGCTCTGCCCTGCCCTATACAGTCACCATGAATCAGAAACGACTGATAGCACACAAAAACAATAGCATTTGTTGTGGAAGTGGGTCTCCAAGGCTCTCTTCCGCAGTGCTGTCAGGTGAGCTGGAGCCAATGAGTTTTAGGACCCACCATTCGGGCCCACCTGGGACCCTCCCAGTTGGTACAGCTCTGTAACAGAGCCTGTGGCCTGGCAAGAGGGCGCTGGAAGAAGGCTTATCTTATAGTTCTAATTGTTTTTTATTTCTCTGTTGAAAGAAGCCAGGGCTTTTTTTCCCTCTTCCCCCTCTGGAGGAAAGCCAGAGAGATTGGTTACCTGACTCTCCCCACCCCACTTCCCTAGCCAATCGCTGGCGCCATTGCTCACAGAGCCCCGTCTTCAAGGCAAGCCCCACCTGGCTGAGGCTCTGCGGGGATCAGAGCCTGCGCCCGTAAAGCGGGTCCTGGAGTAGAGGAGTCAACTCCTTACTCAAACAACTGTAGGGCCAGAGCTGGTCGCCGTGCCCATTCGTAAAGCCGCCGCAGGGACCTCGCTGCTGGAGCAGGAACGGTTACCCCGGCAACCCCTCCACTCAAAGGAGCCGCACGCGGCCTTTGGGCTAAAGGGTCCTTTCCCGGAGACTTAAGTCGCTTCCATCCCCATCCCAGGTGAGGGAAGCCAAAACGGAGCCTCGGGGCCCCTCCTCCCAGTACCAGGAACTCGCCAGGTCCCCGCCCTCCCGCGCGACTCCGGCCACTTGGTAACAAACACTTCCACTTCCTGAGCTGCTTTCTTCGCCCGCCGCGGGGCGCCGCGCCGAGCACAGGCTCCGCCCTCGCCCTCTCCGATTGGTCTACGGCTTTCACCCGGCCCGTGAGCCCCCCTCCCGTTGATCCTGATTGGCCCGCAGCAGCCCACGCCCTTGGCGCAGCCACGCCTCCGGAATAAGGGGCCGGGGCTGGTTCTGGAACGCGCAGTCGCGCGGGGCGAAGCTTCGTGTCCGCGCTTCCCGGGGCTCAGGCAGTGCGCGCCCGCCGCCGCCGCCGCGGGAACACCTGTTCGCTCCGCCTGTGCGCGCGCCGGAGTGCTCGCTGCACACCCAGCTTCGCCGGGCGGGAGAAGGGCTGGCCGTCCGGCCCTTGGCCCCGACGGACCCCCCGCGTGGCGCCGCTGAGCCGTCGCCAGGCGACATGAGCGCAGCCACGGCGCCCGGGGCGCCCTTGCCCCGGCTCTGCTGCCTAGAGAAGGGCCCGAACGGCTACGGCTTCCACCTGCACGGGGAGAAGGGCAAGGTGGGCCAGTTCATCCGGCTGGTGGAGCCCGGCTCGCCGGCCGAGAAGGCGGGGCTGCTGGCGGGCGACCGGCTGGTGGAGGTGAACGGCGAGAACGTGGAGAAGGAAACCCACCAGCAGGTGGTGAGCCGCATCCGCTCCGCGCTCAACGCCGTGCGCCTGCTGGTGGTCGACCCCGAGGCGGACGAGCAGCTGCAGAAGCTGGGCGTCCAGGTGCGCGAGGAGCTGCTGCGCGCCCCGGAGGGGTCTGGGCCGGCCGCCGCCGAGGCACCGGGGGCTGGCGGCGAGAGCGAGCCACGCGAGGCCGAGAGGAGCCCCGCGGAGCAGGTAGGTGCGGGGCCCGGGGGTGGGGGAGGACCCCGGCGGCGCCCGCCCTGCGCCCGCGCCTTTCCGAAACTCTAGCAGCGGGGGGCCGACTGCTTCCGCCGCTACTCCCCTCCCCCCCCTCCCCACTCCCAGCGCATTTGCTGCTCCTAGGCGAGCTCGGGCGCGACCCCCAGCCTCCTCCCCAAACTAGTTCCTTTGCCATTTGTACCTCTGGTCCCTTCTGCTTTTGAAAGTGGGACAGGGAGCGCGAGGGAGCCTGCTTCCGTTCCGTGGAAGCCCCAGTTAGGTGGGGAAGGATGCCCGCCCTCCTCCACGCCCACCCTGCAGTTGGTCGGGGGCGCGCCCCAGGACCCTAGAAGGGCCACTGTCGCCGCGACCCCACAGTGGCTGGAAGGTGAAGCTGGGATGACCGTGAGCGCCGCGCTGGCTTCCAAGCTGGAGGAGTAACAGCCCCCTTTCTGGGCGCGGAAACACTGCCCCCCGGGCCCGGAGGGTCGCACCCGGCCTCTGCCGCCCCGCGGCCCCGTCCCGGCTGGTGCTAGTACCTTTAACTCACCCTCCTCCCCAAGTCCGCTGTGATTTCTAAGAAGGAGGGAGGAAGAGCCTCCCAGCCCAGGGCGGTGGGGAGGGGGTGCCGGGAGGAGGCGCGGAGGCGTCTTGGGGGTGGCGGCGGCTCCACCACCCAGTCGGGATTTATGACCCTCAGGAATGTGAGGAGTAAGCGCGGGCTTGAGAAGGTGAAAGATGGATGGTGGGGAGTGAGTGGGGGCAGGGGCAGGGCCAGAAAATGGCGAGTTGAGCCCCATGGGCAGGTGAGACACTCGTTCTAGCACGTGCCCAGTCTTGCGACAGCTAGGGGGGGCGGGCCCCGGGGCACCGTGGCTGGTGGATGACATGGCCGTGTTTGGATCAGCTGCACCAGGAGAGGCAGCTGGCAAACTAAGAGTTGTTGTGCCCAGTCTCCTGTCCCCAGGGAGTGCAGAGGGAGGCCCCAGGGTGCAGACTGTGGGAGCAGCACTCTCTTCCTGGTGGCAGCTGGTGACCAACGTGTCCACCGTGCCAGCAAGGAGCCTCCTGGACAGAGAAAGGACACAACTTAGGCTCCAGGTGGAAGGTGGAGCCCCAGAGGGCCAATTGGTTTGGTGGAAGCCTGGGAAATGAGGTCACCAGCAGCCCCGTCCAGCCAGAGCTGGGTGCTGGGAATGTCAGGGCCACCAGGCTCCCACTTCCTGCCCCGTGCCAAGCTGGCATGGGGGGTTGGGGGTGGCGAGTGCACGGAGCACCTTAGCAAAGTGGCCCCTGGGAATTAGGACCGATGGACCCTGGGCCTAGGTGGAGTAGATATGAACTTTGTGCTGAGACATAGATTTGCCATCTTTTTTTTTTTTTTTGAACTTTGGCACCTGCACAAATGCCACTTTCTGCTCCCCCTCCCCCACGTGGCAGTCCCTGTCAGCCCTCCCTTTGCCCTTTGGCATTGCTGCTGCTGGGTGCATGTAGGCTCCACTGACACCCACGATCTGAAAAGGCAGTCTACAGCCTGTTCTCGGGGTGAGCCCAGAAACGGATTCCCCGTTTCCTGCTCAGATGCCCACTTGACCAACCTTCAGCTGTGTGTAGTTTGCCAGCTTAGGACAGGGCAGCTAGACTAACTCCCGAGAATCATGGGGAGACCTCCACCAGGCCTCCTGGTGTTTCGGCAAGTCACGGGCGCTCTGTGGGCCTCGGTTTTCCCACCTGTGGAATAGGACTCCAGGATGCCCGGCTCCTCTAGAACTTCACAAATATGCCCATACTGAGCTGTGCCCAGGTCTGGGCAGTCACAGCCCTGTGCAGCCAGCCCCATGGTAAGGGGCTTTTGTTTTGTTTCCCTAAACGGTAGCCCTTCTCTGTAGAAAGCACCGATTAAGTTTTACCAATTGGCTTGCCCCTGAGCTGGCTTGCCCAAGAATGGTGAGGGTCCTCTTCAGTAGTTCTCCTAAGGTGAAAAGGTTTGGTTTGGTGCCCACAGAGAGTGGTGGGCGTAGGTGCCATCCTGCCACAAAGGCCAGCCAGGATCAGTAGTGCAAGATAGGGGTGAGGCATGCCACCTGCATGTCCCCGTCTTTGACTGTCTGACACTTCCCAAGCAGCGGCAATCCCCCCTCCCCCCCCACCCCCCTCCATTCACCACCAGTCACAGGATAAGCCTTAAGACTCTGGGCTTGGCACCCAGCTCTCCAGTGCACGGTGGCAGCCGGGCAGGCCTGAGCCAGCTCACCAGTTCTAGCTGGGCCACCCTAAGCCAAGTTACTTAACCTCTCTAAACCTCCATTTCCTCTTGTGTAAACTCGGGGTGCCCAGCAACCTCCTGGGGTCACTGGGATGGAGGGAGGATGCTTGCCTGGAAGGCAAGTGCCCACTCAAGAAGCAGCCCCCCAACAGCTAGTAGCCAAGCCCCTCTGTTTTCACAAGGCATGTTCCAGTCACCCTGCAGGCATCGTGCTGGCTCCGCGTCCCAGTAAGTGCTGACTCAGCGGTCCTTGCTGTTGAACAGCAATAGACATCTTCACCAGAGCCCCACACCACCAGGCGGCCCCCATGTGTTCCCACCCGAGAATCAATGTCTTAGCCCCTGAGTCCTCTGACTGATAATTCTCAGCCTGGGGACCCTGATGACCCCCTTCTCCGTGGGAGAGACCCTACCGGTCCACTCCCCTCCCTCAGAGCTTTCCCCGGATCCAGGGAGGTTGGCCCTTCTCTGCCCAGGGTCTCCGGTTCCATCTCCTGGGTGTCTTTTCACCATCAGTGCTTGACCTCCTCCTCCTCTACTAGGTCCCAAGGGCAGCAGCTGAGGCTGATTGGTGTTTTATAGTCCCCACGCCTGCCTGGAGCCTCGCCCTGGCCAGGCAAGTGCGGGAGCAGGGTGTTTTGAAGTATTGAATGGATGCAAAACAGCTTTAGGGACCTTTGTCCTAAGTGACCTCAGCCCAGCACACCTGGCCATGCACACACCTCGGTCACACCCAGAGAGGAGCTCCAGATGGAGTGGAACATTCCAGATGGCACCTATCCATGCCTCTTTCTTGCCCCCTAGCAGCGTCGACTTTAAGGTCATTCTTCGAAGTCTGGCCTTTGGGGCCGGGAACCTCAGCACTGCCCCTCATTGGCTCTGGGACCCTGGAAGGCATGATCATCGTTGCCCGTAGCCTCAGCTTCCACTCCTATGAAATTAGACACAAGCACCTATTCTGCAGGGTTGTTGGGTTGGACAGAGAGAGAGAGAGACTGTGTGTGTAAGCGTGGTGTGGGTTCCCACCAGACCTAATGGACCCTAATCCAAAATTACAAAGCATGCAGACACCCCAGATGGCAGGCTGGGTGGGGGCAGAGTCAGCTGGCAGCCTCGACCTCCTCCCTAGGGAGCACGACTTTACTGGTATGGAGCTGGGGCTTTAAAAGAGGCAAAACCAGTCTCAGTTTGAAATGGACAGGCTGTGTGATCATCGGCGCTGCCGGCTCCTGTTCTTAAGAATTTGGGGGTCTTTTCCTTCCGTAAGAAGCCCTGGTAGCACAGACAGAGGGTCGGTGCTTGGAACCCACTGGCCACTCCGTGAGGGAAAGATGTGGTCAGCGTCCATAAAGACAGACAGCCTCCCGGGCCTTTCTGCTCTGTCCTGTAGAGTCTGCTATGCGTTGGATTTTTGTTTTGTTTTAACTTCTTGGCAAAACAGAGTAGCCTCTGGTCCTCAGTTTCCATTTCCTGGGAAGAATAAAGTCCCTCAGTGGTCCCTGGGTAGGAAGGGGCTTCCATCTCCCTTTCCCCAGACTTCCCATTCCTAGGTCCTGAGGAGGAGGGGTGGGGAAGCTGGGAGGGAGTCCAGCCAACATCTTAGCGGTGCTGTAGACCTTTCACCAGGGGAACCCAGGCTCCACACTCCAAAAACCAGTGCTCCCCGATTTTCCCCTGCTCTGAGGTCCAGTGACCTGGCGTGGGAAGGAAACTCCAACGACCCCACCCTGTGCCATGAAGATACAGATATATCCCAGATATACGCAACCCATGCGAATCAGGTATCGCTGTCCCACGGGTTTGTAAGTTGACAGTGGACCTCTGTGAAGGGTACCTCCTGTTAGGGCCACCCTCGGAGGCAGGGCTGAGCCCGTTCCCTGTCCTGGAGACTGAGGCTGGGCCAGTTAAGGTAGCGGTCCATGGTGTCTCAGCTGGTGAGCCTACTTTCTCTGATCCCAGGGTCTCTGCATGTCCGTTTGGCCGCATGCTTGGGTTTTGCTTGAGGTTCCCGGCTCCCCAGCTGGGGTAGGTGTCTGCCTGCCTGGTTTGGGGATGCACCAGGGCCATCTTTTTCAGTGGCACGAGTCCCCACTACATAAAGGACTCAGGGAGTTGGGCCCCAGTGGCACTCTAGCTGTGTTCAGCTTTTGGCCCCGACATCGAGAGTTCAAACCCACCAGCTGCTCTTAGTGAAAGATGTGACCTGGCTTCTGTGCAGCGACTTTCCTGGGAACCCAACAGAGCAGGTCTGTTCTGTCCTATGGCCACCCAGGCCCCAGCTGGCACCCAGCAGGCGCCTACTGCCATCCCTTCTGAAAGGCTGGGCTGGGCCGGCCTGAGTCTCATGCCTAAGTCCCCTCTAGTAGACTTGTGCGCGCCCCTGTTGCACAAAGAACCCTTCTGGAGTGTGGGCTTGGCTGAGCCCCTGCTTCTTAGCCGGGGATGGGCTGACCATGCCCTCAGAGCCATCCCTGAGCAATGCTCACGGTCTTGTGCCCCTGGAAAAGGCCAGTGGGCAGGTTCCCTGAGGCCCCAGGTCCCCTTGGTGACCGAGTCACCAGCCTGCTCACTGCCTACAAGCCATGTGACCAAGGTGCGGCCAGAGTTTCGGCGTCTCTGTGGTGCAGGTCTCAGTGTTTGGTTCCTGCCTATCGGGGGTCACGGGTGCCCCCTTCAAACTGCAAAGGCAGCGGCGATCTGGGAGAGTGGGTTTGGAGGTCAGACAGCA